GAATCAACGAAATTATGAAACACTCTAGTCAACATTGAATCAACTGGAACACAATATATTTCTTCAAAACAAATTTTTATGGGACAGGTAGAGCCTTGGCAGATTAGTTAAGTATATACCAGTACTTGGCAATAAGCCACATGGTAAGACTATCCTTAGTGAGTTTAATTAGGTAGCTAGAGAGTTAAATTTGTATAAAATAAATTTGACATACTCACAACAATATCTAATAAACAAGGTGCAAGCCACCCAGTTAAAAAAAAAATGATTGATGTGATGTCCAGGATTTCATTATCCAAAATGTTAAGTTAATTTTAATAAAAGCGCTTGCATCTAATACTAGTTGCAGTTTAAAAAAGAAAAAAAATAAAAATAAAAGTCTATAAACTATTGTAGATTTTATTTTAATTTTTCAATAAACCCAAGTTATCAAGGTATAATTATAAGAAGAAAACAAAAGATTAATAAGAGCTTGTTTGAATATTTCTATCAATATATTTTACATTAATTAAATAGATATTAAGTTATATTATACTATCAAAAATTTAAGATAAAATTAAAATAGGTAAAATTTCTTAAGAAAATCATAAAAATAATAAATACTTTAAAAAAGTAAAATATTGTATAAGAAAATGAATAATAAATCTTTCTCTGTCAATAAAACCTTAATATTCTATCACTATCAACTCTAAAAAATAAAACTTCATCAATTAATTTTTTTATTTCCTAGAGCCTTCTTGTTTATAGTAAGGAAAATATATACTTGGACTCTCATAGCCCAGTTTTTATTTAAAGGAGTTTATAAATAAGTAAAAAAAGTAATAGTAATTTATGAAGACAAGCTTCAAATTGTTTTAAGGAAAGCATAAAGACTTTATTATTTAAAAAATATATAATCTTCTTATGAATATTTTTTTGTATATAATCAAAGAATTAGTACAAAGAGTTTTTTATAATATCCAAAACTTGATATACTGCAAGGTATAGAAAATAGTTTATTTTAACTTAAAGAAATAATTTTGAAATAATATCTTTATTTTACAATTAATTATTTTTTATTTAAAATAAAAATAATTTATTAAATATTACCAATAAAAATATTATAATGGTATGTTAATATATTATTAAAATAATTATCTAAAAGTGAAATAGTACAAGATATTTCAGACAAAATTCCATATTAGATCTTTATACATATTATACATTTTTGGTTAAATTTATACTGTATATATTTTTTGTTAATACATAGTATAAATAATCAATTTAAAGTTTGTATAATGTATTAAATTATAAAATTTGTATTTAATTTCATTTTTATTCAAGTTATTGCTAAAATCAATAATAATAAGTTCCATGTAATCAAAAATATATCAAAAAATTAATATTCTGTAAAAATACAGTTTATAAAAATAGAATTATTTAAATAAAAATAATTTTTACATAAAATAATACTAATAAATAGAAAGAATAAATGTGGCTAAAATATTAAAAATAAATATTTTCATTATTAATGGAGGGTAATAATTTTCTTGTTGAACTCAAAGGTCTGTATTACTGGCTACTAAAATACTAAAATAGTATTGTTCACGCAATTCAAAAAAAAAAAAAAAAAATTTAAATGTATTATCATACATAATGATTAGATTTAAAATAATAGTTAGCTACTACCTTAGTACTGTTATTAACCAAGGTCAACTTTCATGATTTTCTAGATCGCTATCGCTCAGGCAAAGATTTTCAAGTGCTAAAATATAAATTAATAGTCAATTATACGTAATATGCATTATATACTACTAAACCTTATACAATAATCCACCTTTAGAAATGTTTAACTCATAATGAGAATCGAGCTCTATAAAAATCATATTATCATCAATATTATAAATCAAAAGTTTGTTCATAATAAAAATTATTATGCAAAGACCGTACCTATCTGTTCTTCTATAGGTTTTGAATTTTGTAAATATTATTTTATTATAAAAATTCAAAGTTAAAATGATTGTTTATTACCTAAATTCGCATTTTTCGGTATAGCCATGTCATAAAAAGTGTGTTGTTTACTGATCTTGTTTGTAAATATTTTGGATCGGGTGTTTTGGCAAAATCTTTCTTATTATTTAGTATTCTTTTCATAAAGAAATCTGAAATTTTCATTATAAAAGATTTGTGCTCAATTTTCTTTTGCTGCTGTTCTTTTCCGTATAACTTTACATACAATTAATCAATTTTATCATACACTGTCATCGCATCTGGCCTATTTTCTGGATTAGCACCCCAGCATTGTTGCATTATTTGAGAATATTCTAACGGAATATTTCATAAATTTTTGGACAAATACCACGATTAATATCAAGGGATAAATCAATATCATATTCTATATATCCAAATGGAGTTTGCCCAATTACAATTTCGCACATAAAAATTCCTAGATTGTATATATCTGATTTTTTCAATATGCTGTTCACCACACAGGACTTCTGGCGCAATATATGTGATATTTCCATAAATTACGTTTAGTGGCTTATTTATAGGCCCGCAAAAACCCATATTATTAATATACATTTCCATGTTGTCAGAACTATATAAAATATTTCCAGAGTGCAGATCTCGGTGCACTGCATTTTTTTTATAAATTTTATCCAGACTAGATGCTATTTTACAAATGATGGCATACTTGTTAATCAAGATTATTGATAAATGATTTTTCTCTAAATAGTGCCTTAAATCATTAAAATAATGCTTTAAAAATAGCATATAGTCATTATTTAATGGATCCCTTGTTAATCCATAACACCTACAGAGTTATTTTGCCGTATTATCAAGAATAAATTGAGATTTAACCTAGATTATTTGTATATGTAATATTATTTAATTCTCATAATATAATAAATAATTATATGAATAAATAATAATAACTGACTTTTTGAAACCAATCCTTACTGTTATTCGCTGAATTATGCAATCTTTTTAGCACTATTTCGAGGTCTCCATATCTCTCTAATAGTAGTGTCTCCCTATTCCATTTTTCATAAGGACTGTCTTTCCAAATTGCTGTGTAAATTATAAAACATCCACCTTCTGTTATATGTGTAATATTTTCAAATTTTCATGTTTTATCCATTCAATAATAGTATCATAAACAACAGTTTCCTTTTGGCATTCTTGAATTAATTTATCTATCAAGTTATTATCAGAAGACCATTTTTTGAATTACTCTCTAAATATTTTCGAATACATAATTCACAATAATGAGTTGCACGACACCAGCAATGGCATTTATTACAGAGTCTTTTTTCACTCGATGATGTTATTCTTTTCAAATCGTATTAACGATAAAGACGTCTGAATAAGCTATTCTTTTCTGAATCTGTCGATAGTGAGTTATTTTGAAACTGTTTCCGAATATGCTCCTCTCATTGACTTATTGCAGGGTATTTATTATGGTATAACAGAGCAAATTCTTTGTTCCATGCATTGTTATATAATTCGCTATTGAAACTCATCTGTAAGAAGAGCAGTAGAAAATTTTTTTGTCCAATGTGAATTAAATAGATTTCACATTATGCGTAGATTTTTTTCTTTTTTGTATACGTACACTTAATATGCATACACTCAGTGAAAGGTCACCGAGTAACATATTAAATCATTTGACATACTTATACGTATACATAGTTTGTGAGTACAGTATGTTCGGTGGTTATCTTACTTTAGTAATACTGTACGTATTTTTAACAGCAGAGATTTTTTTACTTGCGGCACTTGGTATCACCTGTGCAGCATTACGTTCGAATGAAATATACAGTATATATAATACTTTTAACTAGAAAGATTATGTTATTGTAATATATAAAGAAATTAATTTGGTTTTGTATTTAATTTTTTATAATTTTGTTGAAGTAATAAATTAGTTAAATATAAAATATTGTTATTAATATATTCATAAAATAATTTAATAAGTTACTATAAAATATTTTTTAATTTTTGTTTCAAATTAAAAATTTTTTTAGAATATTATTATTATTTTTTTTTGACTGGTGTAGCCCCGTTTTATTATTTTTCCCAAATTACATTTGTATAAGATGACTATGGCTATAGTATAGGGATGTGTATTCATCAATAGTAAAACTCAATAAGCTATTTTCTACCTCACAGCCTGTTTTCCCTCCCTTTGGAAGAAGAAACTAACATGTCAAGGCCATGCTAGTTTATGTATAAAATGATAGAATAGTGAAAATATTAGTTTAAATTTTATATATTCATTTATATAACTATTTACTATTTTAGTCAGGTTTAATAGAAATTGTTGTACTGTAATCAAGTCCAAGGGATCCTTGGTTTTCTGTGCTCTACTCTTCATATATCTATTATGTTTGGTGTACCTTGAGAATTTTTCCAATCATAAACTTCTTCATATCTTCTTTTCCATATGTTATATAGTAGCTCCTTCTATTTTTTCATTGTGTTGATAACTATTTCTCTACTTTATTTTTGTTTGATAAGATTTTGTCCAATATCTCAGGCATTTCTTTCATTACCACTCTTCTAATAAATAGTTTGAAGGTTCTAAGATTGTTCATCTGTATTTGTCTATGGATAATCTCCTTGAGGTTTCTTTTGTACTCTTTTTTAATATATAATAATACATGTTTAATTAGGATTCTATAAAAGTTTTCTTTATTGTTTTTGTATTTTTGTTGCACTTGAAGAAATGTACTGTATTTCTATTATTCTGAATTTATGAAATCTATCATCCTTGTGGATCAGTGAATATCTGCTATATAGCTTGTTCTTGATTGGAAGTTCTTCATACCAAAGTTTTAAACTGAGTTTTCTTATATAATGATCTCTATTTGATATTATATATTCATTCATTCTTGATGGATATATATTATTAAATATATATTTCTAATATATTTTTCTAAAGATTTCATCAATAAATCTGTTCTGTGTTCTATTCAGTAGTTTTTACTTGGTTAATCTAATAGCTTTGCTAACTTGTTTTGCTAGGTCTTTATCTGGGATATACTGTATATTTGTATTGTATTACAAACTATATCTATTGATATAATCCTCAATGATATTATTTTATATTAATAAGCTTCCAGTTGAATTTTATATCTAATGAGATAGAATTGATCCTGTCTAATCTATTAGCTTTCTTATTGAGAAGAATGCCCATATGTCTTTTACTTTGTGGAGTATTATATTTAAGTTCTATTATTTTCTAATATAATTGAAGTTATTTACAATGTCTAATTGGATTTTTCTCTCTTTTTAAATCTATTAATATCTATTGATTCTGTTAGATTCATTATCAAGGCTTGACTTTTTTTTGTATTATCATGGGTCATGTGGATAATACAATTTATATGTAATGATCTAGAATTCAAAAACCTAAAGTCTAGCTTGAAAGATTGAGTATTATAAGATAAAATACTATAGATTAAGGCTCGAGTACTGATAATGGAACTATGTGTATTTGACAAAATATGGAAAGTTTAGCAAAGTTTAGGGTTAGCATTGCTTATTATAAAGTAAAAGTCCATTATTAGTTAGAAAAGTATAAATAACTTATCAATATATACCGAAAAGGCAGTGCTGAATATGTCAGAAAAACAGCTCTCATTGTGAATAGAGATAAAAGTTTGTGATATACAAAGAAACAAAACATGAATAAAGAGGCACTTATACTTGGCCAAGTCAATTACTACATTTCTGTCTTCCCTAAGTATTCTTTATAAGAGGTGTTCTCTTCTTTGTATCAGTTATAAGTATTTATAAGTCATTTGGATTATGCGAAGTATTACGAATTAACAACAGATCACCAGGTTAGTCCATGACAATATACAGATCAACTGTAATGTTTCTACTTAATGTACTTATTGCTATAGTTATAGTTATCAATTCTACTCTTATTGAGAAGTCATAAAGTTATGTTTGTTTTGAAATATGTGTTTTATTCCTGTCTCATTCTTTATAATATAGCTAAGGCTCATATATAATCTATTGTTATAGTTTGACACTGATCTATCTGTGTATATTGTGATATAATTGTCTCTCTTTATTTGATATTAAATTGTTGTCAGAATGTCTAATTCTCTTCTATCTAGCTTGAACATTTTACTGATATTTATTGTTTTTAATCCAATACTTTCTATTTAGACCTGTCAGGAAGTTTGGACTAAGTGTAGAGTTTAAGTGAGATCTTTTAACTCTTTTATAATAGAGTCTGGAATATCTTATATCACAAAGTATTTATGAGTCTATTTTTGCTTTCCTTAAATAAAATGTATGATCTTTCTACGGAAACTTGGATCATATATTATTTTTTAGTTACAAAGGTACAAGTTACTGACAAGGTATTTTTTCTTTATTTAAAAGATACCCAGTGTATTTTTCTAGTGATAACTGCTTTTCTACTTTGGTATAGTATTTGAAAACTACTATATTGAAGCCATCATTGCATTTTTTCCTACCAATAACTTCTTTATCCTATTTAAGTATTGCTTCCCAATATGGTTTGTATGAATTTTCCATTACCAAGGACCTGCTTTAATTATAGGTTTGATGGTTACCCATCTAATCTTCTATTCTATCTTATATATTAGCTATAATTGGAAGGCTCTCTGTAAATTGCTTGTACCATTTCAGAGTACTTCTTTTCTTTGCTTTATTTATAATATCCTGTTATATTTAGTATAGCAGTTATATTTTTATTGAGTTAATGATTTGTCTAATGAACATTAGATTGTGTTTTCTTAGTATTTGTCTATATTGGTAGTATATTAATCTTAGTATTGTCTTTTTAATTATAATATTTATATTCCTTATCCTTTAGAAAATTATAATTTTTGAATTGAGATGGAATTGGAAAATATGTTTGCTTAATATTTACAGGATATCATAATCCAGGTTCTTTTCTATCTTAAGAAATAGCTGAGTAAGATGTATTATTATTGCATTAGTTGATCAAAATAGATTTTGTAGATTTTGAAGTTCCATTCTGAATATTTGTCCTAAAGTTCTCTTATCTTTCATTTTTTACAACCAGGTCCTTGTATAAAATTGTATTTTCCTATCCTATATATAGTTCAGATTGTGTTTAAGGTGATTGAATAGTAGAATATTGGAGAGTATATTGCTAATGTCATATTTATATTTGTACTTTGTTGCAATTTTACTTATTAGAGAGTTGCACTCACCTTTGTATAGTACTATATTATTGAGCAAATACTCTATATTTGACATAAATGTATGATTTATTATATATTTTATCTGTTTATCTGATTGATTTCTATCTGATTAGTTTACTAGTTTTCTTTACTTTTTCAACTATAAGCTGCTTCTAATAATCTTTTTTCTCAGAACTATTTATCAATATCCCAAGTATCTTCATTAAGATGCCTGGCTTGCTATCTTTTATTATTTTTTCTCTAAGTATTAAGCTTCTCTCAATATATACAAATGGTTCCTTCATACAATAGAATATGGACAGTAGAATGGAAATAGAATAAGTGATCCAAACAGGAGAGGAAATAGAAATCACTAGATTCTAAGCAGTAATACAGGACATACCATCCTTAATATAGACAGAGTTGACAGTGATACTCACAGCAATCAGCATGATTAGTGTAAACAAGAGGATTAATATAATCATGAACAGTCAAAGTGCAAGTAATGCAATCAAAAAAATAATGACAAAATAAGAAAACAGGAACCAAGTATTAGAAACTATAAACAGGAATCTAGTTAATACAATATAGGAGTTAATATCAGTACAAAATATCATAGTGGTATAGATCAAGATCAAGGGTCATTCAGGCAATCTGGAAAATGAGTTAGCAGACAAATTAATAGCAACCATGATATTAGACAAGCCCAAAGACAGAATTTAAATCCAAGAACAGAATACTACCAATGCAATAATAGCACTAAGATAGAACCAGTCCTTTACTGATTTCTGCTTTCAGATAATAGAGAAAAACACTTTTCAAAACCTAGTGGGCCAGTAAGTAGTGAACACTAAATTGCAGCCAGAAATGGCTCTCCGGACACAAAGACAAAGATATAGATTGAAACATGATCATGTAGACACTGATACCATCTAAATAACATCTTTTTATACCAATTGTAAAGACCACAGAGATAGAATCTTTAGATGGAAAACATGATTAGACAAGCACTCAACAATAACAAACTTGAACATTTGAAGGCTACATCTATATAAGAGCTCAACTTGTATAGTCTGCAAGAGATAGGAAGAGAGAGATCTTTACTACTTTACATGTGGATCGAATGAAATAAGATTAAAGAAAAAGTATATAATCTTCCTCACAAACGAATGTATATCAAGAGTAGAAGGTAACAAACAATAGAATGAATATAGAACAGATAGAGACAATTACTCAAATTATCAACATATAAAAGTGATATAGATAGGGACAACAAAATAGAATGGAAGGATATAATAAGAGGAGTAATTACCTACAAAATGATACGAGCAGCAGAAGAGATCATAGGAGAAGCAAAGGTCACAAGAACTGCAATGAAAGCAGCCATAATATACTTTTGGGAAAAGAAAAAAGAAGTATGGAAGCTGATATGTGAACTTGTAATTGAATGGAAAAAATCACAAGA